AGACGAAAGGAGGGGGAGAAGGAGGAGGGAGGAGGAGCATGAGCGGGAGGAACACTGGAGAAGCAAGAGCATCAGGAGGAACACCAGCACGGAGGAAAGCGGCATGAGCAGCCGAAGGAGCAGCAGGAGGGCCGGCGGGAGGAGCAGCAGGAGCAGGCAGGCTCAGCAGGAGACGGGGCGATGATCTTTTGACATCCACGCGTCTGCTTAAGCGTACACTCGGGGGAGACGGCGCCTCCCCCCAGAGGAAGGGGCGGGGCTGGGTGGCGCTCGCGGTTTGTTTCATCCGCGGCCACTTTCGCCACCAGACTGCCCCGCCGCTGACATCGCAGCAACTGCGGGGGGACTCACGCCGAGACGGGAAAGAAGAAGACGGCGGAAAGGACGGGAAAAGGAGACGGGGCAGCAGCAGCAGCAGCAGCAGCAGCAGCAGCAGCAGGAGCATCCGGCGGAACAGCAGCAGCAGGAGGAGCAGCAGGAGCAACAAGAAGTACAGCACGAGGAGAAGCACGAGGAGCGGCAGCAACAGGAGGAACAGCGGGAGGAGCAGCAGCAGGACCAGCAGGAAGAGTACGGGAGGAGAAGGGGGAGCACGGGTGGAAGAGCAGGATGAGCACCGGAGCAGCAGCAGCAGCAGCAGCAGCAGCAGCAGGAGCAACAGGACGGCAGGAGCAGCAGAGGCAGCAGCAGCACAGCATTCCCATCGTTCCCAGCATGCTTGTGAACACCAATCAGTGCCTGCAAGCACCACCACCCGCCCGTGAGCATGGCGTCATACCTGAGGGGGAGCCAGCACCACCTGCGCGTACCTTCGATACCGTTACGATCGGGGGGGGGAGGCACACACCCCCGTCACGGACAGCAAGGGCTTACCTAACAAACCACTCTCCAACCCATGTTGCTCAAAATCGGTAGCGGCCGCTGTTGGGCAGGCGGCCTCCTGTCTCAAAGGGGCAACGCCAGCGGCGGCACGGACAGCGAGCCCTGCTCAAAATGAAGAGGAACTGCGATCGTTCTTCGTAGCCTTAGGTCGGGCATATCCTCCTACAGGCAGATCCTCGAAAACAAATAACAAGTAGCAAAAACAAAACATAATACACGCACAAAAAAACAGAGAACGACAAATCGTCATCATACGATTCTTCAACTATTCTTGAATGCCCCTCCCGTAGAGGGACATGCCTCACTTGATCGTAGCCACCAAAGGGAGGCCCCCTAGAGCGCTTCGAAGAGACCCCAAAGAGCATCCGTGAGGACTCAGCCCCACATCAGCGTCGTCGCCGTCGCTGCCGCCGCCGCTGTTGTCGCTCCCCAGTCAGGGTTGGCGGCACCAACCGCAAGGCCTTCGCAATATTCCTCCTGTAATTCGAAAAACATGCCCGACTTACTCTTACGTCGAGCATGTCCCCCTACAGGCGGTTTTTGGATAGAACAATACAACAAAATTTAACACATACAACAACATGGAAACACATAATCCAAAAATCGTCCTCAGACTACTTTTACTATTTCCCTACCTAGGCTCTGCCTAGAAGGGTTCTTACTCTCTGGGCTTAAAAGGGCCGGGCAGTGGAAAGCGCCCCAGGCGGTTCCCCCAGTATCCGCCCCGCGGTTCCCCCAGTTACGTCCCCTTAGCTTCGCGTTGCTTATCTCATATTAGCTTAGCTTATTTCATCTTAGCTTAGCTTAGCTTCATCTTAGCTCAGGTGTATCTTAGCTTAGCTTACCTTCATATTAGCTTCGCTGAGAGTTAGCATAGCATAGCAGAGCACAGCACAGCATAGCATAGCGCAGCACAGCATATCATAGCATATCATAGCATAGCATAGCGCAGCATAGCATAGCATAGCATAGCATAGCATAGCGCAGCGCAGCACAGCATAGCACAGCGCAGCATAGCATAGCATAGCATAGCATAGCATATCATAGCATAGAGCAGCATAGCATTGCATAGCATAGCATGGCATAGCATAGCAACTGATGCAGCTTTCCTAGGGGCTCCAACTTCTAGGTAGGGTCGCACTGGGGTAATGTCGAATATTCCTCCTGTAGAGGGGCAGGCCCGACTTCTACTTACCCGTAGCCATTCCTTCCGTCCCGCTTTCGACCGCAACGACGCCTGGAGCAGGAGCGACTCCGCCGCGCCGTACGCGCGCGGCGGCGCGCCAGCGGCGCCGCGGCGCCCGCTCTCTCGAAGAAGAATCACGGTGCGCACGAGCATACAACCTCAACCCGCACGGCCCGGATGCGGCGAGAGAGATGCAGGGCCCTGGGACACCCGTTTCGAAGCTTTTGTCGAGCGGGGCGCGGCCAGCGAGAGTGGCCAAGGATGGGCCGAGGAGGCAGGGATGCAGGGGTACCCCAGATCTCGTAATAAAAGGGAGGGGGTCTGGACCCTCCAAGACAAGCCACTTCAGACCCCCCCCCGTGGGAGAACCCTCCAAGACATCGTCCCCAGACCCCCCCAGGCCCTCCAGGATAGCCTGGAAGAGACCCCCCCCCGAGAAGAGACCCCCCTCCCTTTTATTACGAGATCTGGGGTACCCCGCATAGCAAGGCTGTCCAGCCTTGCTGTGCGGGCTGGCTGTCAGCCGTTGGAGCTCCGCGCGGGGAGTTCCTCCTCCTGCGGCTCGAGCGACCGGGCGACCACTCCTGCGGCAGCTCCTGGGAGCCTGCCGTATACCATCTTGCTGGCTCGTGCGAGTCGACGATGGTCAACGCCAAATCGACCCCGATCGACGCTGCTGGACGCTCGTCGGCGCTAAGTCGGCGCATGATCATCGATTGCCGAGTGGCAGCGCAGGCTGATGCACTCTGAAAACGGAACTGCGAGGACATACAAGGCTCCCATGATCTGCTGCCGAATGGCAATCTCGTGGACGCACGGGCGTGAGGGGCCCACTGACGGAGCTGAGCTCCTTCAACAGGCCCCTCACAAAAGAAAGATACCCATGCGACTACTGGCAATTTTCATGACAATACGACCCGCGCGGATTTCCTGCATCTGCACCGGACATCCCCCCTCCCTGGCGCGCGGACCGCGCACCAGGGGAGTGGCGACCGAGGCGCCGCCAGGGACAGGGGGGGGGCCAGCCCAGCTCCGAGGCATTCGCGCGGAGCTCCGAGAATTTACGGTAGGCTCGTGTCGTGCCGACTTCGGCGTTTGTCTCTGACACCACGGGGATCGTTCGGATCGTTCCACCTTAAACGATCGGCAATGTCCGAAACGTCAGATCGTTCAACATCGACCGAGTCTGGGTCGCCAGCGGGGTCCAACGTTGAACGCCGGCAGCGGGGTCGCCCCCTGTCGACACGACGCGAACCTACCGCATGCCCATGCAGGTTGTTTCTTCTTCGACGCTCGCCCTGACGAGGGCAGCCTCGGTGGCCTCATCCGCCACCGCGCCGCGAGGCACGAGTCGGAGTGCACACAGGAGCAGGAGGAGGAGCAGGAGGAGGAGGAGGAGGAGGAGGAGGAGGAGGAGGAGGAGGAGGAGGAGGAGGAGGAGGGGGAGGGGAGGAGGAGAGGGGGAGGGGGGGAGGGGGGAGGGGGAGGAGGAGGGGGAGGAGGAGGAGGAGGAGGAGGAGGAGGAGGAGGAGGAGGAGGAGGAGGAGGAGGAGGAGGAGGAGGAGGAGGAAAGGAGAAGGAGGAGCAGGAGGAGCAGGAGGAGCAGGAGGAACCCTCAGGGATTGAACATTCGAGGGCCCGGCCCCCAGATTCTCTAAATTAGTCTTTGGGGCCGCGACCGCCCCTAAATTTATACCAGCCAGGAGGGCTCCGAGAGGCCTCTGACGTGCAAGCCAGGCGAGGGTGTTCCGCTCCAGACGGCTCCAACACGGCCTCCGAGGCAGCCAAGATGGCCTCGAAGATGGCCAGGATGGCCTCGAAGGTGGCCAAGATGGCCAAAGATGGTCGCCAAGACGGTCCCAAGATGCACCCAAGGCAGCCAAAGTGGCCCCAGGGCAGCCCAAGCTGCCTTCCAAGAGTTGATCATCCTCGGGTGGTTTCATGAGTTCCGCGGTCTCGCCAAGACGGCTCCCGAGGCACCAAAGAGGGCCCCACGACGGCCCAAGAAGGCCCCACGACGGCCCGCAAGAGGGTCCCCAAGAGTGTACCAAGACGGCTCAGCAAGCCCCGAAGACGGCCCCGATACAACCCCATAGACCTCCACGGCAGCCCTTCAGCGTCATGAGAGACGGGATCCGCGACAGCCCAGGGAGAGGGCCCCAGACGGCCTCGAGGTCCCTTGTAAGCCCCCATGGGGCAACTAAGAGGCCCCAGGAGGCTCCAAAGAAGCCCCAAGTCCCCAAAAAGGCTCCTCAGGGCCCCCCAGGAAGCCCCAGGGAAGCCATAATGAGGCCCCAAGAGGGCCACGAGATGCCTCTTCTTCCTCCTCCTCCTCCTCCTCCTCCTCCTTCTCCTTCTCCTTCTCCTTCTCCTTCTCCTTCTCCTCCCTCTCATTCTTCTTTCTCTCCCTCTGCCAAGAGTTCCAAGAAGGGGCTCCACAACGGCTGGAGGTACACAACATAGTCCAATAGCTTGTTCCGACGATGGCTCAGCGTTTGGCCGCGTGGGCGTTTCCAAAAGGCAGGTGAGTGGGCGGCGGTTGTGTGCCGCAGATGTCTTCGATCCGCCGCCCCCTGTGGCTCGCGGCAAGGGCGCACGTCGTCAACGACTGCTTCAAAGCTCTGCCTAAAAATGTTCTTCGGCTAGCCACCCGAAGGCCACCGACAAAATGGAGGGCAAGGCCCCTTACGCTTTCAAGACGGCCAAGATGGCCTCCAAGACGGTCTTCAAGACGCCAAGGTGGCCCTCGAGACGCCCCAAAGGGGCTTCAAGACGACCCCCAGGAGGCCAACATCGGTTATCATCACTCAAGTGTTGAAATGTTTTTTGCGTTCTCACCCTCTCTGGCTTTCGACGCTCACTGACGGCTCCGCAGGCCGCAAAAATCCCCCCAAGAGGCCCCCAAAGAGGCCTGCAAGACGGCCCAAAGCTTCTCCCTGTCGCACTCCCTGACGTGTCGAGAAGGCGGACCGGGCGTCTCGCCTGAGCATTCTTCAACATATATTAGCCTGATCCTCGCGGATGGAGGGCAGGGCGGGTCGTTTTCAAAATGTGGCTCTCGCCAGAGCGCCGCGCACAGTCGTCTCAAAAATGTGCAACACCTTGACGGATGGAAGACTTGCCGTTGTGAAAACATTGCTCTCGAATGCGCCGATGGCGCCGCTTACGTTCGTCTGACAAGTTTGCAACCGCTTCAGATGGAGGGCGGCACCTTGGAAAAATGTCTGTGGCTCTCGTAGCGTCGTGCACATTCGTCTTGAAAGTGTGCACCAGCTCCGAAGATGGAAAGCGATTCCTTTTCAAATTGTGGCTCTCGCCTCAGCGCCGCGCGCATTCGTCCCAGGAGTGCGCGACGGTTTTAAGGGTTCGCATGGTTGAAGTTCCAGGAACTGGGTTCTGGTACGATCTAGGATTGTCAGGACGCCGCAGTCACGTGGATTCGCGGTGTTGAAGTCCCAGGAATTGCTTTCAGGCGCGGTTTAGGACTCTCGGGACGCGACACTCACGTTGGTGCGCGGCGTCGGAATCTCTGAAATTGTTACTCGAGATACCTGAGGATTGTCAGACAGTGGTTTTCTGGTCTGCCATCTGCCGCAAGATACACAAATCACTGCGGGGACCTGTGAAGAGGAAACCTGGAGGGAGGGTACATGGCACTGGTCCTCCTCCTAGTCCTCGTCCTCCTTCTGTTCGCTCTCCGCCTGCTTCCTCCTCGTCTGCCCAGTTTCCCCCCCGAAGGACTCCACACAACGGCTGGGGGAACACGTAGTTTGAGCAGGAACCGACCGTCCCGGCATTCCAAAGTCCTACCACGAAGTGTTCTTAGAACCCAAGAGTGTTCTAAGAACAAAAACAATGTTCTTAGAACATAAGCCTTATGTGTTCAAACAAGACCGCCCCAGCCAGAAATGCTCTAACATTTCGTGGAAACCACAAAGGTTCTTAGAACATTGTTTGGTGGGCCTATGTAGGCGAGCCAGGACGCCTCGCCACTGCTTGAAAAGGCCAAGGGGCGGCGGTGACTCGCCGCAGGCGCCTCCGCTACAGGGGCGCGTAGCGGCATCCGGGCACCGAGCGGGCCACGCGCCGCACGGCAGCGGCCATCGCGCGCCCGAAGCGCCCGACCTCCGAGGCGGGGTCCTCGCCCAGCACGGGGGGCGATGCTCGGGCCGGGCGGTAGGGGGGGATAGCAAAGGGGGGGGGCTGAGAATCAGCTCACGTAGCTGATTCTCCCCGCGCCTCCCGGCCGGGAGGCGCCGGCGGGAGACGCCTCCCGGGGCGCCGGGAGGCGCCGGGAGGCGCCGGGAGGCGCCCATGTATCGAGGCATGGGAACTACTCAAATGGGCACGCAGACCGCTGTGGCTGCGCGCGGGCCTGGAGCGCGGTGAGAGCCCCGAAGCCAAATCCTGCTACAGGCATGTCGTGAAAAGTGCAAGTAAGCAAGGACCACCGTCCACACCCAACCAACCTCCAAGGTTCTCGAGGCATGGGCCCGGCGGCGGGGCCGAGACCAGCTGCATGCAGCATGCAGCAGATTTCGTCCCCCCCCTTTTCGGGGATGGACAGACCCCCCTTTAGTAAAACGTGGTTTCGCGAAAACGACCTGAGGCCCAAACCTGGCGGGCGCAAGCCTGGAAGATAGCGGCCACAGCGCCCTCTCGAGAACCGAAAACGGACAATTCACTGATCGACGTGTCCCTGTTGGGGGTCACGCCCACCCCCGACCCTTTCCCTGTCCCCCCCCCTCGTCCGGCCCGAGATGCCAGCGTCACCCGGCGCACGCCGAGGGTCGGAGGAGGGCCGGTCGAGACGGCGGCGGCGCTGTCCAGCAAGAGTGCGGGGCCGATGTGGCATCACGGCAGCCATTCGGCCCCTGACTTTCGTCCTGAGTGATGCATTTCGGGGTTCTCACGTGGGAAAAAACAGCACTTCACGAATCTGGGGCCCCTGGGGCCTCCGTGGGCCCTGGGGCCCAGAACTAGGGAAGTGATGGCTTTCGGGCCTCGGGAAGAGCGGCACGGACACAGGCTGTCAGCGCTCCGCGTGGACTTGTTGGATCGGCGCGGGGCCTCGTGGCCGCGCCTTCGGCGCCGCCCTCTGGCGCGCTCCGCGGGCCAGCGAAAGGTGTCCAGCGCCGATCAAAACAAGAATCCGCGGAAATCTGAAATGTGGTGTGTATGCAAGTGTCTCGTCCTCGCGACGAGGAGGAGGACGAGAAGGAGGACCCGAGTAAAGCCAAGACCCATCGACCGAATCTGCACACAACACCCTCCCGTCCCAGGGCCCCTCCTCATAGATCCTTTATATGCACTTCCACGGCGGGCGCCTCCTTGAATGACAAGCACTTGGTCGGTCCGCCAGTCAGACGATGGCGTCTGCTGTAGAGGATCCTCCCCGCTCCACTTGAACGACGCCCTGGGTAGCCCCATTTTCAGACCATCCGTCCCAGCTCTGATGGATGTCAGCAGCCTGGATGCAATCCCGCGGAAGTCCCACGCGAAATCCCGTCAAAGAGGCCCCAACAAAACCTCATGTTGAGAAAAAACGCAACAACCCGCTTCGGCAAAGGAGACGCCCTCCATCCGTGTCAACTTTTTTTCACAATGTGGGACGCCCGGTCGCAAAGGTCGAAGGTCACATGAATGTAGTTGGTGGAATGTGTATTCGAATGCCTGCGGGGCCACAGGGAAACCACAACACGGCGGGGGCATTCTCCAAGGAATGTGCCATGGAGGGCTACAGACCCCAGAGGATTCGTTCTCTGATGACGGCAGTGCTGATATCCATGGCCGGTCCACGACTCGAGTTCCATGGGCTTCCAGGCCCTGGATTCCGTATCTACGGGTTCTGTGTCCAATGTCCCCACCATCTTGACAAGAAATCGCCACCCACTCGCGCAGCCAGGGACGAGTTGGAAGCCGAGTATGCACGGAACCACGGCGAAACTCCTCTTCGAAAACGACCCGCACCAAATCTGGTCAAGTGTTGTATAAGAAGAAGGTGTGCGGACCCAGCAAAGCGCGAGCCCCATTGTGAAAACTGCTTGTAGTCCATGCGTCGACGCGAGATGAATTCGTCTGCCCATTGAGGCATCCTGCGGCGACGAGAACGATGATGAGGATGTGGATGATCTGGCTGCTGGTGGCGCCGGCGAGCATGAGCGTCTGGGGAATCACTGTAACGTCTGGGAGCGCCTGGGAGCGTCTTGGAGCACCTGTGGCAGCCCGGGGAGAGCTCGAGTCCAATCTCAGAATCGGCGAGGAGTTCCCCGAAACGCATCGATGTATAATGAAACGACGGTCGGTGTAGGAACTTGTGCTGCCGTGGGTGGCAAGGGGCTCTTCGGGGCCAGGGGGTGGGCGGATGTCGAAGATCAAACTATGCGCGTCGAGCACTGATTTGTACATGGGATGGTGAGGGCTGGGTCGGATTGATGTGCACTGGATTGCCTGTGTCGAATCGGATGGTAGCGGTTAGGTCGGAGGGATGTGCACCGATGATGATGGTGGGGTCGTACGGATGTACACAAAGTTTTATATGTGTTGTATGGGATGGTGAGGGTTGTGTCGGCTGGATATGAAGCGTCTGCGCATTCTGCGTAGCACGATACATGTTGGGCCGTATAAGTGTGCGCCAGATATCAGTTTTTCCATGTGATGGCGATGGTTGGGTCCTCTGTAAGTGAGCTGACTTGTATTACGCAGGCTGCACAGGATGGTGGGAGTTGGGTCGAATGGATGCGCACCGAAGTCGCAAGCGAAACGCCCAGCCCGGCCTACGGAGACGTCCGCTGGTGCGACGGGGAGGCGATATCCACAAGGAAGAGTAATGGAGGAGGAGCGGCGGAGGAGGATGTGGATGACGACGAGGAGGAGGAGGAGGACGACGGCGACGACCACGAGGAGGACGAAGAGGAGCTCCAAAGGCTTGTTCGTGAAATTTGTTCTCACTCGGCGCCCTGGCGCTGCTCGTCCTGCCTGAGCCTGCAGGGGGATTTGTCGTCGCCACGGCCGGATCCGCCTCGGAGAACGAGCCAGAATGGACCTGGGGAGTGTGCCATGGACTGATTCTGGACGTTGCTGTAAGGGGGGGGGCGATGGATGGAGGGGAGACACGTGCACCTTTCGTGCCCCTTTAGGGCACAAAAGGTGCACCTTCCCCCCCCGCTCCCCCTGCATTGCTACCCCCCCGCCCGTATCGCCCCCCCCCCCATTGCGCAACGACCGAAGGATGGATCCGGACAAAGGGCAGGGTACCGATTTCGAGCGGATTTGGGCCAGGCGTGAGAGCAGCCGTGGTTTCAATTGGTCCTCCTCCGAGAGAGCCTGCAACCTGGTTGCGATCTCCCGGACACGGAGCGCGTACTCGAGGACGAAGGATGCGGCAGTAGGCCTCAGCGGCCACGACAGCAGGTCAAACCGTATCAGATCGTTGGTGCCCAGCATCACGACCACCCCGCGCTCCGGTGCAGCCGCGGCCGCCCCCTCCAGCAGGTCCAGCCCCGGGCCGTCCAGCATGTCGCCGGAGGGCCGCATGTTCAGCCCGCAGTTCACGAACTCGCCCTGCCCGGGGTGCCGCTCGGCCAGCACCTCCAGCCAGTTGGCGGAGAGGGACCCCTGCGTCAGGCTGTCGCCGACGAAGACGGCGCAGACGCGCCGCGGCCGCCCCTGCCCCGCGCCCCCGAGGACGTCGGCCAGCTCGCAGGGCCGCCGGCGCAGCCTGGTCGCGGCGAGCACCCCGGCGCCGGACGCCACGAGGAGTGCCGTGGGCAGCGCGACGCGCAGCGGGCCCCACGGGTACTCCATGCCGGGGTCCAGCAGGCAGTCCAGGCCAGTCCAGAGCCCAGTGGTCCCGAGGACAATCGGCGGATCAAGGATGGGGCTCCGTCGGCTGGAGCCCGGAAGACACGAGGGGCCTCAGGTGGCGCGAATTCCACCCAGAACCTCTTCCTAGCCTTAGGGCCTGAAGCCTCAGTTTGGACGCCCAGAATGGGTTCAAAAGAACTGGGCACGATGCCCAGCAACAAATGCTGTTCAGAACCGGCAGCGGCCGCTGTTTGGCAGCCGGCCTTTTGTCCAAAAGGAGCAACGTCCGCGGCGACGCCGACAGGGAACCCTGTCAACAATGAACAGGAGCAGCCGTCGGTCTTCGTACCCATTCCTTCCGTACCGATCTCGATCGCACCGACTCAGGAACCCTTCCTATACTCAGAGGAACAAGTTGCATTAAAATAATTTCTCGGAGGTCCCCGCGGACCTTTTGGATCGGCGCTGGACCCACCTCCCTGGCGCACGGAGCGCTCCAGTGGCGGCGCCAGCCAGGGGCGCCGACCCCGCCGACCCGAGAAATCCGCGCGGAGCTCCGAAAGTTTCTCTTCACGTCTGTCATGACCTGTTCTCTGATTCCCGCCCTGAGGGGAACAGGGCCCCATGTGGCCCCATGTCGGCGACGCGGCTCGATGTGGGCCCCATGAGCCCACATCCAGCCGCGTCGCCGACGCATCGAGCCGCGCCCTCCGACCCCACCCGCTCCGACTCCGTCGGAGAGGACTGAAATGAAGGGGCCCCAGGACACACAAATGAATTCACACAAATCAAAATATTCCCCATATTTTCCAATATTTTCTGGGTTTTTGTCTTCCCCACCACTTCCCATATTTTCCCATATTTTCTGGGGAATCGACGATTAATTGTGTCTGTGTGTTTCTTTTCCTCCTGATGAAACCTTTGAGCCGCCGAGAGCAGCGGCAGGAGATTCCCCCACCACTCGCGCGCGCGCCCCTCGGACGCCGCCGCCCGGGCCCCGCCCCCCGCGCGCCGCCGCAGGCCCCGCGCCCCGCGCGGGGCCGCCCGCGCGGCCGCCCGCGCGCCGCCCGCGAGGCCGCCCCGGCGCGCCGCGGCCGCGGCGTCCATCGCCGCCAGCGCGGCCGGCAGCGGGCGCGCGGCCACGCCGCAGATGCCCCGCGCCCGCCGGGCGGCCAGGCCGCCGCCCCAGCAGGCGCCCGCCGGCGCGCCCGGCCGCGCGGCCCCGCGCGCGGACGCCACCATGGCCCCACTTCGGCCCCGCGGATGGCGCGCCGCCCGTGCCCCCTGATCGCCGAGTGGGGCAGGAGGGGCCATTCCCGGCCACCGCGAGCCTCGGCACGAGAGAACCGTTTCGGCCGTCGGGGACCCCTGCCACATGGCGGCTGGAAAAGGTATACCCCGACGTTCCACTGCAAGGGCAGAACCTTCCCAGCCTCCCTGGACAGGCGCCCCCGACGGCGGGAACGTTTGCTTCATACCTTTCCTCGCCCCCTAGAATAGAAGGGAGCAAACAATAACATAAACATAAAAACTCGGAGGTCCGCGCGGATTTCTCGGATCCGCGCTGGACCCCCCTCCTTGGCGCGCGGAGCGCGCCAGGGGCGGCGCCGGAGGCGCCGCCGGGGGGCCCCAGCGCGGATCCGAGAAATCCGCGCGGACCTCCGAGTTGTTATGTTGATGTCACTGTTTGTTCCCCTGGAATAAGCTCCAAGACCCAGATCTGAGGAACAACCCCGAAACCGGACCTCGGCGCCTTGGGACCGATCCCTGTGCCCCAGGCTTGGGCATCCGACCCCCTGCCCCCGAGGCCGGAGCCCCCTGGCCTGCGCGGAGCGCGCTAAGGCTGGCACCGGAGGCGCCGCCAGGCCACGCCGATGCAAGAAATCCGCGCGGACCTTCGAACACACGGGCGGACCTACGATGGAAAAGCACCCTTCAAGAACAGGAAGCCCTCCACCGGCCAGAATGAAGAACGTTCGAGGGCCCCCCTCCCCCAGGATGCACAAGAACATGCAACAAACACGAAAAACATGAGGGCACCCTCCCCGTGCCGACATCGATCTATACCTCGGTCCGACCGTAGATGTGTATGTGTGTGCGTGCGTGTGTGTATGGGTGTGTGTATGGGTATGTGTATGTGTATGTGTGTATGTGGATGTGCATGTGCATGTGCATGTGCATGTGCATGTGCATGTGTATGTGTATGTGTATGTGTATGTGTATGTGTATGTGTATGTGTATGTGTATGTGTATGTGTGTGCTTGTGTGTTTGTGTTTGTATGTGCGCAGCGTAGAAGCGGCCTCAAGCAGTCCATGCGGAACTACTGGCGACCGCCTGCGAAGCTAGTTTCAATCCACTTCCCCTCGTGGGGGCTATGCTTACCGCCAGAAGGTGAAGCAGAGCGAGGCCCCGATGCCTCGTAGAAGGCTGGCGGCCCTGTTAGCCCCAGCAGAAGCCTACGCGTAGGCTTTAATCCTCAACCATACTGCTGAGGCGTAACATACTACTGAGCTATAAAAAAACAGCCCAGTTCTGCTCGAAAGGTCATAGCACAGCAACTCCCGAGCTCTTTTTTAGGATGGAGCCCGTTGAACCCGTCGACCAAAACACGATTTCCCCGCGCGCACGCTCACGCTCGCCAGCGGCGCGCTGGTTCGGAGGCGGCAGAGGTTCCAGGCAAAGACTCCCAAGGCCCTTCGCGCCTCGACGGGCCTGCAAAACAGCCCACATGCTCTGCATATTGTTATGGGCCGGCGCTGTACGATATCGTGCCCACTAGCATCCGCAACGAAGCGCAAGCCTCCCACCTCCCAGCCCCCCGCATTAACGCGTTGGGCGGCCTCCTGCTGAGGGGGGGCCAGACCAAGAGCTGAACCGGAGGAGGAAAAAGAACGGAAGGAGGACACGTTGGGGAGGGGAGGTGCTGCGCTATTGGGCGTCGGCGGCCTTCCATCCTCGGCCTCCTGTGGACCGCTGCTGGCCGCTAATCGCTGTCTCGACCGCAGGCCTGCGCCATGCGCCGCAGTCGCCACAGGCGGCCTATCAGCCTGCTCCTCACGTTGCCTCACCCTCTGCGCCATGGGCTGCTTCACCGTCTGCTGTCCCAGCCGTGTTGCCGATGAAGCTCTCTTTACCTGTCTCTGTGGCCGGCTGCTCCTGTTCGCCCCCGTCGTCTCGAGGCCCTCCGGGCATGCTTGCCCCGGCCGCTGCTGCGACCGCGACTGCTTCAGCTCCCAATCCAATGCTCGCACGTCCTGCCGATTCAGGTCATGGGAGTTCTGCGATTGTCCTGCTTCCTGCAGGCCAAACAAATCAACCTCGTCGAAGTCGAGACTGTCGTCGTAGTCGTGGAATTTAGGCCCCAGGTCGTCTGGGGGCCCGCGCACGCAGCCTCATCCTGCCGCTGCAGAAGCGCCCCGGCAGAACCCCCCCTAGGGCGCTCAGGGGGGGGATCCCGCGATTCGTCTGAAAGCGTGTGCTGATCCATCCGCCGCATAGCTCGGCTGCGATCCAAGCTGGCGCTCCGAATCCGCGACGCCATCTTGCCGCGCCGAGTCCGCGACGGCAGAAGTCGGTCCAAGAGCCGCGATCGTTGGCCCCAGCTCGGCGTCGCGTTTTGCGCCTAAGCCGAAACTGGCCGGGCTTTTCAATTATTTGCGCGAGGGCGTCGCCCGTTGCTGCGGCGAGAGCCAGCTGCCTCGCTCGTGCCCTCGTCATGGACGCGGGCTTGCAAGGGGTCGCGCCCACCTTTCGCCTCGCGCGGCCCGTGAAGGCCCGCCGGTTGCAGTCCAGGCACAAGACCCCGAGCTTGGTTTTGTCCGCGCCGCTGCCCCACTTCACACGCTCGACGCACGCGTGGTCGATCGCCGCGAGCCGTGGCGCGGCCTTGGGCCCTGGCTGCGCGCGAGTGTCGGGTCGCGGCGGCTCGCAAGCTGCCGTCTGCTGGACTCGGCACGCGGCCCAGGCAATATACTCGGCCGTTTTGGTGGTCAGGTCCAACTTGCACTCCATGCGCCTCTCTAGCGACGCGCTCGGCTGCGCGCTGCCGACGGCTAGGGTGGCGAAGTAGTCCGCCCATGCATTGCTTAGCCAGCTGTCGAGCTCAAGTCCCATCTGCTCGGCCTCATCCGCCGTCATGTACGAGGGGGCCCAAACAAATCTCGGGGCCTCCTGCAAGAGGTTCCGCTGCTGCGCCGCGCGTCGCGCGGCGCGCCAGATGTCGGCGTGGGCGCCGCGGGCGCTTGCGCCCTCCTCGCTCCATCGGCACCCCTCCGCCGCCAACGATTCATGATCCGCGACCGCGCGGTCGACCTGCTCCCCTGCCGTCAGGCCTCTGGGGGCAGCGTAGCGTTCTGCCCGAGGCGCGGCATAGGCGCGCGCCCCGGGGCAACGCCAAACTGCGCCCGCGCCCGGGCACCCTTTTCGCTGAGCTGGACGACGGGCCAGCTGCAGTGCGTCATCCCGGGCACTCGATTTAACCTGGAGCCCCCATCGATGTGCGCGGCGCCCTCCCAAGGGCCAGAGCAGTCGCCCCATGTCCAACGCTGAGCCGCCGGCAACGGCAAGGCCTCCGAAATCGTCGGCGCCAGGGGAAGACCATGTGCCAATTCCAGAGCGCCTCAGTCTGCCCATGTTGCGCAAGATCTCCCTCGCCCTGGCCAACTGCTCAGGAATGGGCCCCTGCTCTGGGGGCTCGCCCAGGGCCAGCTGCTCGACGCCGTCGCAGTCGCGCCATCGATGCCCCGACGTCTCGCGAGCAGCGCCGCAGTAGGCACTCTCGGGACTGGCCGCCAGCCCTCGCCCAGAACGCCTGGCCCTGGGCCACGCGCTTCCACTCCATGCGCATATGACGCCTCTTTCTGCTCGGGGTCTTGGACGCCGCCCTTGCCCTCGATGGGGGCACGCGTGGCGCGGCGCCAACGCGCCTCGCCATTAGCCTCAAGGTGGTGCCGCTGAACCCCGTGCGCCCGCCATCGCCGCGCTCCCCGCCGAAGGAGCAGCTGAACCTGTTGGGGGCAAAATTGCAATAGCGATATACGGTCACCCTGGTCACCCCGCACGTCGCGAGCCAATGTCATGCCCTACTGGATACGACGCAGGGCAAGCCACGTGGCCGCAAATCGCC